AGTGAGACTCTGTCTCAAAAAAAATAAAAATAAAAAAAATAAAGACTTTTTCTCAATGAAAACTATAACTCTACAGACCAGCTAGACTGTAAGATAGAGCAGCTGACTCATTCTAATGCACCTCTAGAACACTGTCTCTAAAGTGCACTGAAATAAGCAGTAGCACTAGAACCCTCTTGAAGAATAATACAAAGGAACTGGAATTGTGTATCTAGAAAAAAAAAAAAAAACTAGTAGCTAAAATATCTCTAAACTTAGATCCATCAGTATAAGTTTCATAATTAACCCATCTGTTTTAGTCACCTAAATGTGACTAAATAAAGATAAAACTATTTAAACCCTTTTTGAAAATATAGTAGTTTTAGAATCCTGGGGGTAGAATGTATTAACTTGTCCTAGCTACTTTCTAACACACTAAAATTGATAACAACTTCATACTCGATTAGAGTGCGTTTGTATTGCTTAACGTCCTCATGCTTCTTATTTATTTTGAATTGTGCTGTGGCAAGTTTTTCCTTCTTCACAATCATCAGTCTTTTGAATGAATTTTCTTCAGTCTTCAATTTTTTCAGTTCTGACTCATCACTCTCAATTTGGTCCTCCAAGTTCAGGCTCTGTATTTTACGGGAAATATTTAAAGTCAGTAAACCAATGAGGATTTATAAACAAATTGAAAGAGTATTTTCTAGGATGAGCGTTAATAAAACACAATTTTAAAGTGAGATAAAACCACTGAGACCCTGAAAGCACAGAAGACACAGACTGAACAAAGGAGACGAGAGGAAGGCACTAGGGGTGCTGAGAAAAAGCACAATGGGAGAGGCATTTTTATCGTGTCATCCTATCAGGAGAGATTGGGACAGAGGGATGTACTCAGATCAGCTAAGAGACCAGAGTGGAGGAGGTCAGGGTCCGAACCAAGGTAGGAGAAGTAAAGAGAAAAGGATAGATCCTAGAAACAACTAAAAGCAGATCTCAATCTTTTTTGGTTGACTCTTGATGGCAGATGAGGGCATTACGTAGTTACGAAAGAATACCTCAGGCAATCTCAACTTCTAAACCGTAGGGTTCTCTCAAAAAACGAAATCATTCCTCAAATGTAATGTTAGTGAACCTGGGGACTTCTAGACTAAGAAACGTAACTGCCGTTAGTCTCATTCTTCAGGGCAGAGGCTTTGCTACAAGCTTCAAATCTCTTTACAGGCCCTAGGTACAGTGTTAGACAGTAAGTTGAGATTTTATGATTTCTGATTATAAGGTCATTTCCAACTGTTAGAACAAGTTTAAAATTCTGTCACAGCAGCCCCTTCATCCATGAGTTCACTTTCTGTGGTTTCAGTTACCCGAGGCCAACCACAGTCCGACAACATTAAATGGAAAAATTTCAGAAATAAAAACTCTGTAAGTTTTAAACTGCAAGCTTTTCTGAGCAGCATGATGAAATCTCGCGGTGTCCTACTCTATCCCTCCATGGATGGGAATCATCCCTTTGTCCAGCATATCCATGCTGTATACAGTACCTGCCCTTTAGTCATCAACATCCAGCCATAGACATAGCAATGGCTTGATGATCCAGGACCACCTGAAGCAGATGATCCTCCTTCTGATATATGGTCATAAGGTCAATAGTAGCCTAATGATTTGTCACAATGCCTACACCACTCACCTCACCTCATCTCATCACGTAGGTATTTCATCATCTCCTATCATCAAAACAAGGGTGAGTACTATAACTTTTATTAAAGTATATTGTTACAATTGTTCTCTTTTATTAATACTTACTGTTGCTAATCTCTTACTGTGCCAAATTTATAAATTAAACTTCATCATACATATGCATGTATATGAAAAAACATAGTATACATAGGGTTCGGTACTATTCACGGTTTCAGGCATCCACCAGATACATCTTGCAACGTATCCCCTCTGCTCCCGGTAAGAGAGGACCACTGTACCAATGGACCACTGCACCATTTTCCAAAATATACACGGCAATGTGCTATGTTAGTCAATTTACAATTCATTGCATCTGAAGGTTAAAAAAATGGGTTCTTGCTACTGCTACGTTTAAAAAGAAAAGTGTCTTATTTCCCAGCATTCATTGCCACATCTATTATGCCATAGAACGATCCTGCTTTTCTTTAGGAAAATAGTAATAAAAAGTGAAAACAAAATCCAAGGAACTATCGTAAGCCATTACATAATAAAGACACGAAAATTGCACACAATACAAACCTCCTTTAAGATGCTGGTTAATTTTTCCCTATTATCTGAAAGGTCCTGTATTTTCTTTTGATATAACTGCACCTCCAGCTGACATGCAGGCAGGCAGTCAACTGAGTCTCCATATATTTCATACTTTTCCATCACTTCTTGCTTTGAAAGAAAAAAAAATACAGACCACCGTTTGATATTCTCCTTTATGAAACTGCAGTAATGTCAATTTGTTTGCTCTTAAATAATTTCTGCACTTAATACTGAAAGCTTAAGAGTAGAAAACAATTAAGTTTCTAGGTCAGTAACAAAGCACTACTACTGACATGTGTCTAAGCACATATAATTATGTTTCTTAATTA